GCAGGTAGAGTGGGGGGGGGTCCAAGCACTTTGCCTCCTGCTTGTGCCTGCCCCCTCACCCCCCCCACATAGTCTCAGGTCCCCCCTTGTGCCCAACCTTCTGTCCCCTCTTCCTCCCCCACCCTCTGCTTCCCCTCACCCTCACAGCCTCTGTTCCATGCTAGCAGGCTTTATCCCTCTTCTAGCCTGGGGCACTGAGCATAGCCCCATCCTGGCCCACACCATGTGGGCTGTGCACTATTGCTATAGGCGCCAGGCTGTGGCCATTCTTAGTGTCCCAGGCGGTAGCATACACAGAGCCTGCTGGCAGAGAGCAATGGTAAGTGGGGGAAGGAGGGAGGAAGAGAGGCAGGCAGGGGAGCAGAGGCTGTTGTGAGTAGAGATGGGGATAAGAGGTTGCAGGGGGAGATGGTGGGTTGAAGAGGTGGTGGAAATGACAGGCAACAGCTGCAAATATGGCCCTGACCTTGGGTAATGGCTGGAGCAAGCCCAAACCACAGCAGTTGCCTGCCCCCCACCCCAGCACCCTCATACTTGATTCTAAGATGAGGGGCTTTCCCTCCCTCCCCACCATGTTAATACCATTAAGCAGATGAAGAACAACAGAGCATGTGGTCTTGATGGAATACCACATAAGCAAGGTGGAAAACTCTATACATCATTATTATGCAAATCTGGAAACATAAACAGATTTCAAGTGACTTGAGAGATGCCAGAAGTGTTACCATATTCAAGAAGGAAGACAAGAGCAATTATTGTGGTATTGTGCTGGGAATATAGCTGGGAATGTCCTCACCTGCATTCTCCTTCATAGACTCACTTTCCTTACACAGCAGTTTCTATCCAAGTTCTGATGTGATTTCAGATTACCCCAAAGTACAATAGATCTGATCTTTATTGTTAGACAGCTGCATGAGAAGGGCGGCAAGCAACACCAAGATCTCTACACAGCTTTTATTGACCCGCCTGAGGCCTCTAATTCAATCAGCAGAGAAGCCCTGTGGAAACTCTGGATGAGGTTTGGATGCTCATCAAAACTGGTTATCAAATAACATGACAACCTTCCTAAGCAATGGCTTGGAAACAGACCCATTCACTATTAGAACTGGAGTCAAGCAAGGATGTATGATTTTGTTGGTGCCGACAGCGCCTGGTCATGGTGGCTCGAGACGAACGAACAGGTGGGATTAGCGGCGAGGAGTCAGAGCGGTCGGGATACGTACGGTTTCAAAAAAAACAGAATGCTTTATTTGTCTGTCTCTTACTTACACCACGTGATGGTAGTGTAGCTTAGGTCAGATCAGGCTTAGTTACAACGGTGGCAAGAAGCGATGAACGATTGGTAACGATGACGGTGAGGGACGTGAACGAGTTTGCCGGGAATGTAGAACGGGTCGACTGGAAAACGTGGAACGAGTCAGCCGGGACGTGCACGAAGGTAACCGGGACGGCCAAGTAGTTGGGACGTGAACGAGCAACCGAAACGAGCGATCGAGGTGAGATGATAACGAGCGTTGGCAAGGAGAGGGTACGTCGGGACCCGACGGTCGTGGGGAGACCAGCGGAACTCTTGGGGTATGCGAGCCAGAGTTCTCCTGAGAGTCTCTCTGGTTTTCTATCTGGTCTGGTCTCTTCTGGGCGGAAGCTCGCTGGCCTTAAATATGATTTAGGTGGCCAATCACACAGCTTCCCCTATGGAAGATTCTAGCTAAATTACATTATGCCTAGAACAAGACCGGGCATGCGCATAGTGCCAATTTAGATTATCTCATTGCAATTCACGTAAGGGTCAAGTGTGGGGCATGTTTTTGGGCATGCGTACTGGCCCTCTGGGGTTTTTCCACTGGCATGCCTATACGTGTTCAGCTTAACCATGTGTTATCCAGCACCTTTCTTAAACTTGGTTCAGACAGATTTCACCAACACTTTTCCACGTATATCACAGCTATTCCACAATTCATTGCTGATAGCCTTCTATCTGGAGTAAGCATTCAGTATCCCATGGGTGGGGGAGTCTTTAATAACAATCAGTTACATTCCAAATTAAGATAACCAAAACTTCTATTAGTGGTCTCCAATATGCTGATTACCGTGTTGTGTGTGCCCATTCAATTGAAGAGCTCCAGGGTACTCCCAATTGCTTAAGAGAAGTATTTGAAATACTTGGATACACTGGCAGCTTCTTATGAAAGCCAGGTTACTTTACATTGGTAAAGTCTGTCTTTACCAAATGCCCTATTATCTTTAACTCTATTAGTCACTAATATTTTGACAATTCTTTGGTATCCTTGATCAGTCAGCTTCATATTTTAACCTGAAATTGTTTTGTGTTGTGATTTACTTCTCTTGTTCCATCCTTTATATATTTTATTTTGTTTAATTACTGATTCCACATCTCTCTCTAACCAGTATAGTTTCTTGTCACCCATAAGTTTTTTCATATCTATGTAATCATGGTCTTTACCTTTGAACAGCACCAAGTTTTTGTTAATAATTTCCACTCAGACTTTTTATTCCAGTCACTTATGCAACAATTGGTTTTCTGAGTGACTGCATAGTTATGCAGTGAGAAAAGTGAAAAATATCTTTCATCTCAAACACCTGCCAATGTATCTTGCCAGAGAGACTCCACTTGCTAGTCCATTTGTGGAATTTTTCTTCAGTGAATCTGTCATTTGTACTCTGTTGTAAGAAATATGTGGTAGCTTGATGTGGACTATCATTCACTATATTGTTGTGGGGAGGGGGGCAGACACCCTGAAGCATGCATGCTATGAGTTGCTCAGGCAGCTGCTGTGTGATACATGAGCTCTGGGCACCCAATAAAGGTGGGTACCACAATGCAGGCAGGGGTGACTTGAGCCTCCAACTGCATGGAATGGAGCAGAGTCAGGACATAGCTGCATGAGATGTCATTGTCACTGCCAAGAGCCAAGTTAACCCTTCCCTACTAATACTGAATTCAGACCTTTGGATCCTCTCTCACCATATAAAACTGTGGCAGTTGTGTAACTAGGGAAGGGTTAACTTGGCTCTTACGGGTGACACCTCTCTTGCAGCAGTACACTGGCCCTACTCCACTCAACACAACCTGAGACCAAAGTCCCCTGCCTTCATGCTGGATACAAGCTTTGCCAAGTACACTTTTGAGAGGTAGGATCAGGGTAGCCATCAGGGAGGCGGTGAGCTTAACTTGTGGCACTGGTGCCAAAAAGATTGACAACAATCGTGCTACATAGTTTGCAAAGATTATTTTTCACTTGCAACTCACCCTTGAATCTGGGGAAGGACAAACATGGTTTCCTGGCCTTCTGGCTAGAAATTCAAATGGTAAGAAATATTCAGCAAATATTTCTAAGACAGTCTTATACTGAAGTTTTATATACTGGACTATTGTTATGGGAAACTAGTTCCTGCACTTTATTATTGATAGTTTATGAAAATGACAATAATGGTTTTTGTTCTGTATGGTCATAGGTAAAATATAAGGTCCATTCCAGCCATCACTTATGTGTGCAAAATTAAATTAAAAAACATCAGTAGTCCCTCTGGCTGCAGCAGAGCTACCCATTTGTTTAAAATTAAGTATGTGCCTAAGCATTTTGCACATTAATTAAGCATGTGCTTAAGTATTTTGCTAGACTGGATTATTAAGTAAAATGTACAATTTTGGAAAGGTCGCAAACCTTCCTCTCAAATAAATTTAATGTTATAAATACTTGCAGGATGGGGGTCATTTCAGAAAAAAGACCAGCTTTATCCAAACTTAATTAAAATATTGACTAAGAGTTTCAAATATGTCTGTAGGATTTAAAAACACAAACTCCTAAGCATGATTCAGTGGTATTCATGAGCCTAAGTCACCTCGTCAGCCCTGGAAATGAATATTTATCATATAATATTATTTTTATCAATACAGAAAGATTAATTTGTTTTACATGTTTCCCTTTGATAACTAATGTTTCATGACAAGTTAAAAAACACTATCTTTGGATGTATTTTAGAAATTACATCTTTAAAGAGCATTACATAATTTACGAAAAATAATATTATATTTCCAACTAATATGCAGCACATTTTCACAGACGTGTGTAGAAAAACATGTATAAAAGAAGCTCATTTTAAAAAATAATTTCAAATACATAGCAACTGTTCTTAAAGTAATTTTTTTAACTTGTAATAATCACAATCATATTTCAAACCATAATTCTATGATCTAAAATCTCTTCAATTTACCAAAGTACAGAGGAAATGCACTTCATGGCAACGATGGTTCTAGCTGGTCCAAGTTAACAGGAATCCTGATGGTAAAGTTACATATTCAGCATGGAATTTTATGAAGACTTGATGTGATGTAGCAGTAAATGAAGCAATGTTGGTATCCTAAAGTTAAAAAGAATAAGTACAGATAGTGTTTCATCTCTTTAAGCATTTTTCTGTAGTGATGTAACTGTTAGTATCAAAACAGGCAGTCTGATCCTGAGAGTATGTACCCATGTAAAGGCAAAGTGCGACTTAAGAACTATGGCCCAGATTCAGAGTTCTGTTTCTGTTCCAGATACTGAAGCTCAGGGGCTGAATTGTACTTACTGAATATTAAAGCACTATATGGAACATCAAGCATCTGAGTTCAGAGACAAGAAATCCCTGATGTAATCCACTAGATGTCACTAGACTGTCTCCATTTGGAAAAGCCTATCTAGACCAAACTTCCTAATAGCATCCAGCAGAAGCCCTGTACATTCACCTTTAGTTACCTCTCATATGGAAATGCTGCACAAACAACGTTAAACATAAAAAATCAGCATTTCTTTTAAAAAAAACTTATGACAAAATATAGAATACATACTGTGCCACAGTATGGTCCAGTCGGGAGATAGGTGGCGTTCGGTCCATTGTAAAGTATCAGGTAGTTTCTAATGCAGTCACCTGGATCATCAATGTAGATGAAAACAAAGTTTACTTTTACGGTTCTTCCCTTTGGGGCAAAAATGAGCCATTCACAATCAGTATTGTTTTGGTAAGTTGCAGGATAGTCTGGGCTGGTAAATGAACCAGTTTCACCATATAAGGTTCCTCCACATCCTGGAAAAAGACAGTATTAATTAGTTATTATTTATTTTTAGAAAATATTGCACAATGCAACTGCTCATTTTAGCATGCTCAGGGTTACCGTATTTCCAGTTCCACAGAAGAGGACACCTGTTGGGGGGACACCTCACTCTAAACATACCACTTGCCCTGTCAATGCCCCTCACTCCCAATCTGCAGCCCCCCAGGCCCTGCTGCTGCCACTTATTCTCAACCTGCAGATCCCTGGCCTTGCCAGTGCCCCTCACTCCTGAACCACAGTCTCTTCCCCACCCCCCCACTCTTCCCCCTGGCTATCAGGCTATGTTGGTGCCCCTCAGCCCCAACCCACTGCCCCCCATCCCTGCTGCTGCCCCTCATTCCCAGCCTACAGATTCCTGGCCCTGCTGGTGCCCCTCACTCCTGATCCACAGTTCCCCATTGCCCTGGGCCATGCTGGTGCCCCTCACTTCTGACCCGCAGCCCCACATTCCTGTTGATGCTCCTCAATCCTGACCTTAGCCCTTGCTGCTGCCAGTGCCCCTCACTCCCAGCCCACAGCCCCCCGCCCCCCTTGTGCCCTGTCCCCCAAGCTACAGCGCCCCAGCCCTGCCAGTGCCCCTCACTCCTGACCTGCAGCTCCCTGCTTCCCCCAGCACTGCTGAGGGGGCCCCCAGCAGCCCCCATCCTGACCATGCTGGAATGCAATGGCTCCAATTCATACGAGTGGCATCAGAGTCAGGCTCTGGCCCGGCCTTTGGCAACCCCTACCCTGGGCTAGGGCTCCCACACCTCACAAGGTGGCCTGGCCATGTCCCACCCCACCGGGCACTGTCTCCCAGCCATGCTGCCCCTGTGAGCATGGGCACAGGGCTCTGTGCTGCTGTCCTGGCTCAGAGCTCCCCAGTGCCCTCAAAGAGCCCCCCCACCCTCTTTCCCTGCTGGAGGGTAAGGCACTTCCCTCCCCGCCCTGCCACAGGCCCAGCACCCTGACAGCTTCCTCCAGCACCAGTAGGCACCTGCTCCTCTCATATTCCTTTTACACACACACACACACACACACACACACACACACACACACA